GGAGGACTTTTATGTGGATTATGTGCTTTCAGGTGCAGATACCATCGATAAAGCCGTCGAATACTATAAGCAGTTGAAATCATCACTGGCTGGAGGAGGCACCCATTGACCAAGTGGTGCTCTAACTCAAGGGAATTTCTCCAGCACGTCCCACCGGAAGACCAAGAGAAGCAGCAATCGATTCCAGTATATGGAGTAAACGAGTTGATCAAGCTTTTGGGACTCATTTGGGATCCGAAGGCTGATACTTTCAAAATTGCAATCCCACCTGCCTCATCGTTATCCAACGCCAATTGTGCCACCAAGAGAACCATCTACTCTGAAGTGGCAAAGCTATATGATCCCCTAGGTCTTTTTTCTCCGGTGATCGTAACTGCCAAACTCCTAATACAGCAACTGTGGAAATCGAAGTTAGGATGAGATGATGATCCAGTGGAAAAGGAGTGAGCATGAGCATAAGCATGATTGACCGCCCACGTTTGCTACTCTGTTATTGCCAGACCAGCTGTAATTACACAGAGAACCAATAGACGATGCTTGGGACTAGCAATCATCCTCAATGTGTAAAAACTGGTGATCTCAAACTAGGCAATACCAGCGCCGGCCGCGCCCGAACACAGGTCAAGAAAGGAAGGGGTAGGAATGTGTTGACGTAACACTCGCTTTGATGGAAGCCGAGAAAACCTCTGCACTTTCACGAGGAATCACTGGGATATTGGGTAATAGGGTTGGGTTTGCAGCAGGGTTCGTTTTGGTAAACGATAAACTGAATTGATGTCCTAACAATCATATAACGCGAAGGAGCTTGGGATTGAACCCACGGTCTTCTGCTCAGTAAGCAAAAACGTTTGCCACTAGGCAGACGAGCTCCTTTTTTTATCATCGAGTTGCTGTTATTACCATGTAGTCATGTTAACAAATAAAACGATTGACGAATCTTGAATGTGGATGGGCTTGAGATTAGACTCATGATGTTCTGCTCAGTAAGCAAAACCGGTTGCTCTAAGGCCACCGAGCCCCTCATATCACATTATAGCGTTACTCAAGTTTTTATGACTATTCAGACCCGGCACCGACGACAACGAAAAGTTTTACGAAATACACGATAAACAAGCGATCTAACCATACATTTTTAATATGAAAGGATCTGAGACCGCGTTTTTCTGCTCAGTAAGCAAGTCACTGCAACCGACGATCTTTGAAATTCTTAAAGTAAAAGCTATGAAAGAGGCCTTCATTAAGATCCATTTTCACGCGACGTTAAATGTTTCGATTTTCTCTTTACGCATGGTTCAGGTAATCATAACAAGCTATGACCGACATGACGATTGTTTAAGACCTGGTTGAACAAGCTATTCAAATGAAATTACGTTCTCGAATTTTACTTGGCATGTAATGAACAACAGAAATACGCGATAATTCATATTTTCAGCGGTTGCTGGTTAATTTTAAATATACTAACGGTACTGCCTACGACTACGACGGCGATTACGACAGCGACTACGACGGCGCTTACGACAACGACAACAGCGAATTTGTAACTTACCATTTGTCTAGGATAAACACCTTTGCCCGGCACCTCCACTGGCTCATCATATCCGCTATCTGTCACTGTTTGCAAAATATCTAATAGCAATTACCTTCCAATACCAATACTTCCTGTATTGCCATGGTCATCTGGGAGGAGGGTCGAATCTAGTGCTTTCCCCAGGAACCGTTCACGGCCACCAGCTACTGCCCGTCCACTCTTGGGCTAATCTCCGACACTCAATGCAAATCGCAGGCACACTTACGCTAGTTACAAAAAAAAAACACACCCGTGAAAAGAAACGGATCAAATAAACGTCACTCTCGCGAAAGCACACCCGTCGTCGTCGAACGGCAAAAAAAAAGGAATCGGTGTGTAATTTTGTGATACGGATTTCCAAAATCAACCCGGAATGCACGAATTTCACCACACCCAACTACGAAACACGTTCAGAAGCACTTTTGGTACACTTTCGTTCGAAAACACTTAATTTTTTTTTTCAAAAATAGTTGCGAGTGAACCAACATCATCACCGCGTAAATAAACAAAATTAAAATTATCGCTCGCGATGCCACAAATTTCTGGACCGGGAGAAAAAATCAAATAACGCAGATAGCGTCAAATCTTCTGTTGCTTGCAAACATGATGAATCATGTTTTTTTCGATGATCCAGTGGAAAAGGAGTGTCAGCAAAAATGGAACGAATTCCGGCAAGCACTACCGCAACTAGCCCTTATCCAAGTTCCGAGGAGAGTAACAAGTGATAACGCAGTATCCTTCGAGCTGCACGAATTCGCCGAATTCGCAGATGCGTCTGCAGTTGCCTACGGTGCTACGGTGCTTGTTGTTATGTACGAAGTGTTTTCCCGAATGGATCTGCACAGCTTGTGTTGTTGGTAAGCAAATCAAAGGTGGCGCCACTCCATGACCTATCGATTCCCAGGAAGGAACTGTGTGCAGCATTACTTTTGACTCGTCTGATGCAAAAGGTGATTCCAGCGATGAAAATGGCATTCCGTGAAGTCGTGTTATGGTCCGACAGCACCATCGTTCTTGCGTGGTTGAAAAAACCGTTAGACCAGCTCCAGATTTTCGTGCGAAACCGTGTAGCGGAGATCTGTAGTATCACGGCGGATTATCAATGGAAGTACGTAAGTTCGAAGAATAATCCAGCTGACATCGTTCGAGGGGGCAGTTACCTGAAGTTCTTAGCCAGAAGCGTATTTGAAAACACGGCCCAGAATTTCTAACACATCCAAACTATGAAAAGGAGATAGCAGAGAGCATTACGCCTGAGCCACTTCCCGAAATGAAGATCGTTGTGACAGCACTAGCCAAAGTGGACACCTCTATGTTCCAGTTCTTGCATCTCTACAGCGATTTCCGCAAGGTTCAGCGAATCATGGGGTATGTTTGGAGGTTTTTAGATAACTGTCGCAAGAAAGATCCGTGTCAACGAGTGAAGAAATCGTACTTAACCGTCTGCGAATTACGCCAAGCAAGCGATGAAATCTTTAGATTTGTTCAGCATACTCATTTGAACGACGAGATCAAGCTAGCTTCGTCAGGCGAATCATGTAAGAGAATTGGTAACCAACGTCCAGTGTACATGGACGGTTTACTTCGTGTTGGTGGACGTCTGGATAAGTCAGCATTGCCCTTTGAATCTAAGCATCCTATTATCCTGCCCGATAAGGATCCAGTGGTAAGAATGTTTGTCCGAAGCATGCACAGGGAGCTCCTTCATGTTGGACAGACCGGTTTGATCAATGCCATCCGGCAAAGATACTGGCTGCTCAACTCACGTTCTACCATCAGGCAGGTAACACGCAGCTGTGTGAGGTGTTTCCGTACCAACCCGAAAGACACTACGCAGCTCATTGGCATCATTGAAAAGATTCGTCAGTCGTCGAAGCTTAGTACAGCGGCTTTATTCCGATAACGCCACAAACTATAAAGGAGCGCATCATGAAATGAACGAACTCTTTGTACAGTTCACAAATCAGAAAACGGTCCAGGGAATCCACCAGTTCTGCCAAACGCGTGAGATAGAATGGCACTTCATTCCGCCGGACGCTCCTGAGTTCGGTGGACTTTGGGAGTCAGCGGTAAAATCAGCAAAAACACACTTGAAGAGAATCGTTGGAAATTCCAAATTGACGTTAGAGGAGTTTGCGATCGTTTTGGCAGATATTGAAGCAGTATTAAACTCACGTCCTTTGTTCGCCATCTCAAACGACCCAGCTGATTGCGATGTAATAACTCCAGCTCATTATCTGATCGGTCGTCCACTTATTGCCCCTGCCGAACCATCACTGGAAGACCTCAACGTGAATCGTTTGGATCGCTGGCAGCACCTGCAATTAATGAGAGATCATTTCTGGAAAGCTTGGAGTCGTGATTATCTCAACACTTAGCAGCCTCGTAAGAAGTACTTGAAGACAACGTCGAATATCCGAGTGGGAATGGTTGTGTTGATCCACGAAAACACGCAACCGCCTCTTAGCTGATTCCTAGAGAAGAATGTTGAAATCTTCATTCCAACGGGGGGTGTAAGTTCTAACTGTCATTCAAACGCCCCTCGGTTGCTGCGATGGGTAAAAAAGCTACGAAGAGAGAACGACGACGAACAGCAGCGAAGTTTTACTTTTAGCATTCTACGATTCTACTGCAGAACAGATAGCTGTCATTTAGACGGAAGAGAATAAAGTAGTAGATAGTAGCACTGAGTTTTAGTTGGTTCCGTTCCCAAGATCCGAAGTGTCACAGTGGGTGACCGTCGTGTTCCGCCGTTTCCGATTGTATAGTGCCACAGTGTGTGGAACCGTATTGCCTTTATGTCCGTTTGGTCACAGAGTCACAGTGTGTGGCTGCAGTGCAATCTTGTCGAAGAGATTACAGTCCCGTCAATGAACTTCGTTTTTCCGTTACAGTCCCGAACAAGGGAGTTTTGTAGATGGAAATATTGTAGAAATTTCATTGATAGTCTGAGATGTTGATCAAATTTCAGGGAGCAGTACATTAAATTTACAAGTTCAGACATCTTTGAAAAAAATAGTTTCGAACCAATTCCATTAAGGTTTCCGTTTTTTTCATGTTTTATCACCTGAAAATCACTTTCGGTACAATAACCACGCTTCTTCGGCGGCAAAAACGCTGCAGACAGCGAATCGAAAATGAACGCAAAAAAAACGCTGCCAAAACGCGCGAACAGCGTCAACTTGCCGCGATGATTTGGTTCCGTAAGGCGCCATGCATTTAAAACGCGGCGAATTATTCGCGCCAGTTTGGGGGGACCTTAATAGCGGTGGCGGCACACTTCGATTGCATTTCTGAAACACAACCTCAACGCACAAACACGACGATGACAACGTTCCGGGAGGCGGAACGCACAAATAAAGGGAAGACAAAATGCACACACAGAACACGGTACGAACTGAACTGCTAACGTTGAAAGCCAAACGCGAACTGTAGAATTTTGTGCCATCCCGGCCCAATGTGTGTTCCATCCTTGTCAAGGGGAGTGCTAACCTGCTCTCCTTTCAAAAGACACACTTTAAATTTTGACCTATAGGGTTTACTACCTCATTCCCGGCCTATTAAGCACAACCCGCACTTAGTCTTTCTTAATCTAGCGCAGTTTAGCACCAAACGGAATAGTGTTAAAAGTCTAACACTGCTTGTTCGGATCACTAATGAAAACTCTTTTTTTGCAGCAGCGTTGATTTACAGCAGCTCAAAACTGTAAGATTAGTTTGTATTCAGTTAATTGTTAATTTTTGGTTTAATCTACAAAACTCACATGAATAGTTTTCACTTCACCGTGTTTTCTCCTTTTGTGTCTGCTAGTGCCGTGTTATTTGCCTGACTACAACAATAATTATGAATTTCACATTTTTAATCTAATTGTTCCATACAAACTTACTTCTTTAATACCGCAATTCACAAACGATTCCACTTAACTAACTAATTATGCCCTCTACTGATCAATTTCACCATAAATTCACTAAATCGCTTCATTCAACTACAATCGACTATTTCCATCCACTAATGTTTACTTATGTTGCTATGTTTACGTTTTTGACCGTTTGATTCGGGTCGGCTATCCGCACTCAGGTACGCCCGACGACTGCGCGTGTGTTGGTAGCTGCGCGTTCGGTGATGACGTCACCGGTGCCTCAACAGCCCCTCCCCGTAACACTGGCGTAGGCTCTCCGCTGGAGCCAGATTTACTAACACGTATCTCCGGCACCGCAAGCTTTGCCACCGGACGCCTGTATGTTCCTTTTGCTGTGCGCACCACTGCTTGTCTAATTCTTCCATCGGCTCCTTGGATGACCTCCTCTACTACTGCTCGAACCCAGCACTTTCGATTGTCGTCGTCTGCCACAAACACGACTTCGCCTACTTCCAGTGGGTTCTGTTCGCTATGCCACTTCGATCGCCGGTTGATGAACGGAAGGTACTCAGCCAACCACCGTTTCCATATACGGTCAGCCAGCATCTGCGACCTTTTGTAGCTGTCCCGTAGCGCCTCAGCTTCGTTGGTCGGTAGTACACAACCTCCCATTTCGCCTGACGAAAGCCCTCTCAGAAAATGGTTGGGAGTTATCGAACCAGTATTCCCCGGTTCTTGAGGAATATAGGTTAGAGGTCTGGAGTTCACCATGTCCTCTGCTTCAGCTAACGTAGTCTGGAGTATCTCATCCGTCAGTTTACGCCCATCGTCCAACACCTTCACCGCTTCTTTGACCGAACGGACGAGTCGTTCCCACACTCCGCCGAAGTGTGGTGCCGATGGTGGATTGAAATTCCATCGGGTCCTTGAACTCGTTAGCTCCTCAGAACAGTTCGCTTTGATCTCCTTCACGATCTCCTTGCTTGCGCCTACGAAGTTTGTCCCATTGTCAGAGAAATACTCAATGGGAACTCCACGCCTGCAAACGAAACGTCGGATGGCCATTAGACATGCCTGTGACGACAGACTATGGACGACTTCAAGATGGATGGCTCTAGTTCCAAGGCAAGTGAAAAGAGCACACCAACGCTTTTCTGTGTGTCGTCCAACCACTACGTTGATTGGACCGAAGAAGTCAACTCCGGTGTAGCTGAACGGTCTAACGAAAGGAGTGGTTCGTTGATTCGGAAGCGGAGCCATTCTTGGAATCACCGGTTTGCATTTCTGGACCTTGCACCGCATACAGCTTTTCGCAACTCTTTCCAGCTCTCTGCGGACTCCTGGGATGTAAAAACGTTGTCTCAACTCGTTCACTACAGTTTCCCGGTTCGCGTGACCGAACAGCTGGTGATAGTGTTCTATCAGCTTGACCGTCACCGGGTGCCCCTTTGGCAGGATTACCGGAAACTGTAGCTCAAACGGAACGAACTCTCCCTCCTGCACTCTGCCATCCATTCGCATCACATTATGCTCGTCCAGAATAGGCGACAGCTTGAAAATATCACTGGAACGATCAATGGCTTCGTACTTCCCTTCTCTGCATCTAGCTAACGTCTTCACTTCGTCTGCGAACGATTCGCCTTGCGCCATTTTCCACAGATGGCGCTCCGCCTCTTGGTACTCCTCCCTCGAAAACGGACGTTCTACTGCTGATACGGACCCTCTACCTAATCTCACTACCCTGGGATCAGCTGGTAGCGATTCAATTGGCAAACCTCGCTGCTTCCGGCGAATGTTCGACACGAACCTAAGAACGTTCGCCACCGTTCGGACTACAATATTCCACTTCGAAATGCGGCTACAGTTGATCAGCGGCCTTGCGATCTCGATACTGTGGAACAGTAAACTGGCACGTAACTCTTCCTTCACGTTCGGTCTCGGTGGCTCCGGATGTGGCCACGTATCCTCCGTCTCGTACAGAAACTTAGGACCCATGAACCACGGGCTGTTCGATGTGATCCTGGTTCCTTCCTTCCACTTGGTCAAATCATACGCTATGTTTAGCTTTGTGCGGATCCAGCGCCAATCCGACGGGTTCGTCTTGCTCAATATTTCGCCGATTCTGTATGCGACGAACACTTTGTATTTCCGGTGATCCGACACGATCCAGGAATACACCGTACTTGAATCCGTCCAGAACTGTACACGGTTGATGCGCAAACTGTGATTTTTCTTTACGGTTTCGGCCATTTTTGCTCCAAGCACTGCTGCCATCAACTCCAAACGTGGCGTCGAATACTGCCTCAGCGGTGCCACCTTGGACCTGGCTTGCACCAAAGTACACCGAGGAATCCCATCTACTAGCATTCGAAGGTATGCCACGCATCCATATGCACCTGCACTGGCATCTACGAACACGTGGAGTTGCAGTGATTCGTAGTCCAGTGATTCGCCACCACCGAAATAGTGACGGGGAATTTTCACTCGCTCAATATCCGGTAACAGCGCTGTCCATCTTTGCCACTTTTCGAAACTCTCATCGTCGATCGACTCATCCCACTCACAACCTGTACGCCACAAGTCCTGTATCAGCATCTTACCGTGGATGGTGAACATCGTCAGCAGGCCTAACGGATCGAACAGACTCATCACGATGCTCAAAACGATTCGTTTGGTCGGACGCTCGTCTCCGGACAAGTACGGTTGCAGATTCTCTCGCAGCTGCAACGCGAACGTAAACACGTCCTCTTGAGGGTCCCAGACAATACCCAAAACCCGCTCGGAACCCGTAGCCTTGTCGGTATTGAAATGGACAATTTGGTTCGATTTCGACTCACCTAGTTGCTGAAGTACCTCGCTTGAATTTGATACCCAGTTTCGGATTTCGAAACCGCCCTTTGAGTGGATGTACCGGACCTCGGTTGCCTTTTTCACCGCCTCCTCGACGGTCTCTGTGCTGTCAAAGTAGTCATCCACGTAATGTCGGTTGACAATCGCATCCACGGCATCTGGGAACTGCAACATAAATTCACTGGCGTTGCGATCTTTCACGAAGAGAGCCTGACTCGGCGAACATGTCGCTCCGAATATCGCGCAGTCCATCACATAGACCTCGCCGTCGAACATGAACCGCAGAGCTTGCCTATCCTCCAGTCGTATCTTCAGTTGGTGGAACATCTCTCGGATATCTCCACCGAACCCGACACTGTATTGCCGGAACTTGCACACTACCGACGGCAACGATGTGAGGAAATCAGGACCTTTAAGCAGCTTTGAATTCAGCGAGACACCTCCAACAGCGGAAGCAGCATCCCATACCAGCCGGAGTTTATTAGGTTTCTTCGGGTTGATCACGATGTTGAGGGGAAGATACCACACCTTCTTGGGGTCGGTCTCATTTAGTTCTCCAACCGTCGCTTTGTGGCAGTATCCCTTGCTTTGATACTCGATGAGTTGGTTCCGAACGTTTTGTTGCAGTTGTGGACTCTGCGAGAGGCGTTTATCCAAGCTCTTCATCCGGCGTGCTGCCATTGGATAACTGTCCGGAAACGATGGATCATCTTCCTTCCACAGCAGTCCCGTTTCGAACCTGTCCCCAACTCGCTTCGTTGTCCTTTCCAGAATCTCGCGGGCCCGTTGATCTTCAGCTGATTCAGGCAAAACTTCCACCGACACTCCTGCTTCTTCGAGTACATAGTGCGACTTCAGCAGATCGTGCAACTCCTGATTGGACACCCCAGCGCATGAATGATGGCCAACGTATGCAGTCCGCAGACTGCCTCCTTCTTGTGGGCCATACACCGTCCAGCCAAGACTGGATCTGACAGCTATCGGCTCTCCTGCTTGACCGATCCGAGATTCAATAGGTGCGAATAAGTGAAGATGCTTCAAACCTACCAAGATCTTCGGCGAGTCGTTCGGATATTCAGCCACCGGAAGGTTTCGAAGATGGCTGTAACGCTGCACCAATTCCTGGTAGTTCAAGGACTGTGCTGGCAACTTGAGCTCCTTCACGGTGTGTACTTTTTCCATCGGAAACTGTTCCTTCGATCCGACGGCAGATATCGTCAGATTCAGCAGCATTGACTCTCGTTCTAGTCTCGTCATTCCAGCGGTCCAGGTTACCCGTAGTGGCTGTGGTTTCCCAGTCGCCTTCAGCTGGTTCGTGATGGAACTTTCCACCAACGAAAACGAACTGCCCTCGTCGAGAAAAGCCATAATGTTAATGGACTTTTCTCCAAAGCTCAACGTCACTGGAATCATCCGGAAGAGTATCGGCAGCTGAAGACTCACACTGTGAGCGTTGCAGTCCGATCGCATTTCGGTTACCTGCTGATGAAGCATGGTATTGTGTTGCCCTTGACACCTATCGACTTTACACCGGATGTTTGCTTTACACCTACTCCTCCCGTGGGCGTTCAGGCATGATCGACATAGATCGAAACGTTCGACAACTTCCAGCCGCTGTTGAACTCCCATCTTCCGAAATTCGTCGCAATTTCTCAGCCGATGATCTGTGCCTCCGCACGTTGGACACGGCTTTCTTTCTGCGAACGATTCTTCGCTGTGTGAGTTGATGTGGCTCTCGTTCTCTTTCGGTCTTCCTCCTTTTGCCTTACCGGAACGATTACCAGTCGGATTCGATGGCATATCGA